TCACTTGGCTCCCCATCTATGCCCTCTGCCTGTTCATCATCCATAGTTTGGCTTAGGGTCACCTCCTCCTGGAGGCCTCTCCTGATTCCAGCTTAGCTTGGCTGCCCTCGTGGTACCCACGGTTCCTCTGTCTCACCACTGACACCAGCATCCCCACCTTTGCCGTACACCTGTCTGGCTCCCCACCTAGGCTGGGAGCTGTACGATGCCATCTTTTATCTTTGATTTCCGGCACCAACATGTTGCTTGTGTGTTCAATAAATATCTGTTAAGTGAATCATTTCATATCCGTAACACCAAATGTGTACCGACTGCCATCTCTGGAGCAAACAGTCCTGCGCTCGGCTGCTCCCATGTACACGCACACTCCATGGCCCAAGTGCCTGCCCCGTGGCCTGTCTTTCCCAGACGAGCGCATCTGCACATCCACCTTGGCTGCTCTAACCAGCATGAGCTCGGGCATTGGGAGCCCTGGGTCCTGTCTCCGCTAATCATTTGTGACCACAGCACCTCCACTTTTCTCTGTGTGTGTAAAGAGAAGGGTGTGAGTGGCTGGTGAGCGCGGAGGGACCTGTCAGCGAGGAGTCTGTGACTCTATCGCATGGGTATGCCTCCAGATTCCAGGCCTGCACACGATTTGTGTCGAAATTTGTGTCTCTACCTTGGGCCCACAGGGCAAGGAGGTGGCCCCCAGGAGGCAGCAACACAGACACTGCAGTCGTAGGGTGGCTTGGGGACATGCCTGCCCAGCCAGGTAGAGGACATTGAGTCAACCTGCTTTCTAGGGAGGAGACACAGGGCCCAGCTGAGCCTGCCTGGGAAGCTGAGGGACAGCAGGACGGAAGTGCTGTGGTCTTTGTTCCTTTCCTCGAATGCAATGCACATTCCCCACTTAAAGGCAATTTCTTCATTTCAAAAGGATTCCAGCTGCTTAAATTCAAGGTGAAGAATAAGCCCTAGTCAAGAAGCTTCTCAGGGGCCTTACAGTTTTCATTGGCTTGAGAAGGAATGTATTTTAAGATGTTTGCCTCTTAACGTTTGTCAAAGTGCCTGGGGAGAAAGCTTCCTCTCACTTCAACACCTCGCTCAGCGCTCAGCAGCTGTTGGCACAGGGACCCTCCATATTTTCCTGCATTACTCTGCTTTCTCAGGAACCCACCTGAATTCCTCGTTCTCTCCCTGCTTCCTGCTTCCCGCCTCCTAGTCCACACCGACCCTGGGTGGAGGAGGGACTAGTGCTGGCCCAGGGGCCACCAGGCTCACTCAGCAGCTTTCCTTCAGATGCCCCAGGACACCCAGCAGCTTAAAGGGCAAGCCGCTGGGCTCACCTATCTCATAGCTCACACGCCATGAGGTCTCCTTCTGTCTGCCATTCATTCATCCATTCATCCATCCAAACACCCACTTGGTCACTCAGTCAGTCAACACGGGGTCTGTGACGTTGGTAGGGGCTGTGGGTGGTTCAAAGATATATAACACCCGATCTTGTTATAATTTGGTTGAATCTATGAATATACAACCACGACACAAAACAGAAAGAAATAAACTCTGGGATTAGAGGGTAGAGGACATTAAAAATGCTCTGAAAAAGTAGAGATCAGCTAGGGATGAGAGCGAGTCCTAAAAGGAAGCAGTCAGGGAAGGCTTCTTGGAGGAGAAAGCATTTTGGTGGGGGCAGGGTGTCTCAGAGTATAGGGTCCCAATATGAGGAAGTGGCCTGAAAAAAGGCGTGGAGACAGGAAGCTCTGCAGTAGGCACAGAGGCACTTCCTATGCTCACTGTTCCCCTCCTTCCAGGGCCTGGAGGTTTGCTTGGGAGGGGTGGGGAGTGGGCTCCCTGGGCATGTCCTTTGGCAGCCACAGCTTTGGTGGCATTGTTTTAATAATCTTTGAAGGAAGGCACTGTCCCCACATAGCCAGTCACCAACCTCTTGCCTTTTTCCATCAGTCACTAGGACTCAGGTTCCCCTACCCCTACTTCTGAGGAACCCTGTTCCTGATAATACCCACTTCCCCACCAACTTTCCCAGTCATTCTCTCTCTCTAGGTGTGTGTTGTCTCTACCCCAGAAAGGAAGCTCCAGCCACCATCTCATTTCTCACTGTCCCTGGCCTGTCTGCACCTCCACGCCACCATCTTCCTTAGCGACCACTGCTCTTCCTGTCCTAGGAAAGCATCCCCTCCGCGAGCCTCCTCCACTCAGCCAGCATCTCAGTGTCTAGCTGAGAGTCTGTGCCAGTGGTTCAAGGGTCAAGCCTCTGGAGTGGGGCAGACCTGGATTGACCCCTGGCTCTGCCGCTTTCCAGCTCTGCACTTGGCCCGCTCCCTCCTTCCGCAGGAACTTCTCTCGTTTTTCCTACCCGACACCTATGCTCTTCTGATAACCGCACCTTGCTTCTCCTTGGGGGAGCCATCCTCTTCTGCTCTCAACTCCTGTAGGTAAGTAGGGCTGCCCTAGGTCACTGTTTGGTTCAGGGATAGGCATGCTATCCAAACAGGACAAATAAATCTTGGGACTTTTAATGCCTGGAAAGGGTCAACTATTCCCACTGGGATAATAAAATAGTAAAAACAAAACTGAAGCTGATAATTTTTGTCACCACACACAGTCTATTACACATAAAACCAGCATGGAAAAAGAAGAAAAGAAAATAGAGAGGTAGACGGATTCCTGGTGACATTATTTGAGCCCTGGATTCAGCCATGCCTGAAGTCATCTCTGGAGTTTTCAGTTTGTGAACCAATAACGCCTTCCCTCTTTTTTGGCACAGCCAGTTTGAGTTGGCTTTTGTCACTTGCCACTAACAGTCTCAAGTAAAGAAAAACTTGCAGAGTCGATGAGAGAATGAAATGACACGTGAATAGTTATAGCATAAAATGGGTACCACCTGATGAATGGTGGCATTCGATAACTGTCTCTGCCTTCTCAAAGGTCAAATTTCCATAAAGTATAGTTACCATAGTAGAAATACTACTTTTTTTCTTTCCACCCACCACTTAGACCAAACTTTCTCTGGTGAAATCTGCCATCCTTGGCTTTCTTAATCACAGCTCTGTGTCCTTCCTAAGTCTCCAGGTTTTCTTCCCCACCCCACCTCAGGAGGGGAGATGTCAGGATCGAGAGGGGATACTATCTTCTCTGTGTTATATACCCATATCCCAGGACAATCAGTATCAACTAAACTGAATCAAATGCAAAGACTTTCCAAACTTGCTTCAAACTTGTCTCTCCCAAGGACACCAGATACTCAGAGAAGTCTATACTGCCATCTAGTGGAAACATGCAGCAATACCCCACGGAACGGATTCCTCTACTGAGAATCCCTCGCCTGGTCCAACTTCCTCACTCCTTAAGTGACAAGCTGGAACGGATTCCTCTACTGAGAATCCCTCTTGGGACAGTCACTGGGCTGTGAAATGGCCTGGTCCAACTTCCTCACTCCTTAAGTGACAAGCCCGATACTCTTCTCTAAAGGACTGGGCTTCTGCCCTGCTTCTGCAGCCTTCCACCTCCTGTATTAATGGTGACTTGATTGTCCTGCCCCCTGGGGCAGCATTATACTCTTCTTTAAAGGACTGAGCTTCTGCCCTGCTTCTGCAGCCTTCCACCTCCTGTCCCACAAGTTAGAATCACAGCAACTTACGTTTCCTCTGCTTCTCCTACCTGTCCGTGTGTGACCCAGGTCAAGAGTCTCCAGAGAGGAGGGTTGATGTGTGCATGCGTATACACGTGTGTGAGGCTTGGGAGGGTGGAGGGAGAACAGACCAAGAAGGTCTCCTCATTATTTGCTGGCTCAGTCTCCCAGAAGAAAAGATGTTACAGCAAACACGATAGCCGGTCAATGTTTTTTTTTCTCAGACTCATAAATTGTAAAACATATTATAATTTCTTTGTTCTCTAATAGTGAAAAACAGTTCAAGAAAGAAAGAAAAATCTATCCCTCTACCTCTGAGTAATCCAGGTGATCCCTAACCCTGAACTGGTTATCTTGCTCAGCCTGTGCTGTCACCAGGCTGGACTGACAGAGGGGAAGAGCTAGCTGTGGCCAGTCCATGACACCACACACAGAGGGGACCAGAAGGCTGGCCTTGGTGTGCATGTGGTCTTACCCTGACCACGACCTTCTGTCTCCACCCACAGTCCTTGTTCCTGGGTTGACAATGACACCTCCTACTAAAACAAAGCAGAAAATCACCTTCCACCCCCAATGCTTTGGGGGTTCGGTCAGGCCCAGGAGTCAAGGAAGAAAGAAATGGTGACCAGAACACTGGAGTAGCTCTCCCGGGCCATGGCCTAGCCCCTGGGAGCAGCAGCTACGGCCCCACTTCCCACTTCCATGGCCATTCTCCAGGTTTACTATATCCCCAAACCAAGGGAATCTTCCAGAGCAAGATGATACTAATCACTTCCCAGTAAAAGGAATAGTTATTTCCAATTCCTAAATGCTTCAATTTATTTCAGACAACTTTGGGCAAACTTTTGAGCATGTTTCATATTGCAATGACCAAGAGTCAAGATGCACTAACCTCTGCTTGTTTAACCTACGTGAGAAGTGCTGCCTGTTACAAATTCGCTCCCCCGCTTTCAGAAGATCATTCTGAAAGCCCAGCTACCATGCACCTACAGAAAGGATTCTCCAGAACCTCTTCTTTCTACCTTCTCTCTCCAGACTCAAAAGCATGCATTAGCTGGTCTCCACAATGACTAAGGGTCCAGGCTTGGGGGCCGAGGGACTACAGGAGCAGGGAAAGGCCTTGCCAGTAAGTAGCCCCTGAGCCCCAACAAAGCTCCCACTCTGTAATCCTCCCAACCACTTCAACCTCCTTCTAGGCCATGGTGCTGCTCTATGGAAGGCACATACTTACAACAACAGCCATCTGTTACCACCAGACCCAACCCAGATGGCTCTGCACACAGTTTCTAGTCTCTCAGATGAGAAAATTCAGAGGCAAACCGAGACCCACAACTTTCCCCACTCCAGGCCAGATCCACTCACTCACCTCTAAGGCCCCCGAGAACTTGACTGTCGGCTGGGACCAGCGGGTGATCTTTTGTCTGTAGTCGTTGCAGTCAGGAATATACATGCAGCCGATGTTCCCCAACTCAGGGTAGAAAACTTCAAGGCCCCTATGGTGAGAGGGAGGTGGTTGGCCCATATCAGGGTTTTAGAGGAGCCTCGGATTCATAAGGCTTCAGTCTAGCACTGTTGGGAATGTAAAGTCAAGTGGGATTGAATCCTACTAACTAGTCGTGTGACCCGTGTGACCTCGGCGCCTCGGTTTAGTCACCTGTGAAATGGGCACACTAATAATATCTACTTATAGGGTTGAAGTGAGAAGTAAAGCAAGTGATCAATGTTTATAGCAGGGCCTGGCCAGTCATCAGTGCTCAGGAAGTATTACCTACCAGAAGTATTTACTTTTCAAAAAGAACTTATATTCACAGGCAAATTCAGTCAGCATCTTTAAAATAGCATTGAGTTTATAAGAATAACATTTACAAAATGCTTTTCAAGAAGGTTATTATGTAAAGAAAAGTTTAGCAAGTTAACACAGCCTTCCTCATGGGCACAGACTGTTCTCTCCCCTACATAATTAAGATGCTCTCAATGTTTGGAAATCCTACCATTAAAATAATCCACTTCTTTGGGTTAAGTATTGCCCGTACCCTAGGCTCTCAACCTACTATTTGCTGCGCTTTCAAAATGCAAATCTCTCTCAGGGGGTAAAACATCTAGTCATTAAGACTGTAGTATGAATTTATTTATCTACTTTCTCCCTGAGAAGAAGGGCCTACACAGCATGTGTACTCTGAGACTCAGGCTTAGTGGGCGTGCTGTTCCCACAACGCCACCAGAATTAGCCTTAAGGGCTCATCTGTATTCAAAACTCAGGGATGTAAGCCAGGCTTTCAAATAGGTATTTAGAAAAAAAAAAAAAAAGAAAACAAAAACACCTCTGTGCCAACTTTTTTTTTTACTTGCTTCTTCCTCCCTGCCCTTCTGCCACTTTTTATCACGAAGACCCAGGGTCCGTAGGGTTTTATCAACTGGTGGCACTAATTCAACACCAATAGGAACGTCCAATTTTGGGTGCAGGGGAAGAAGACTATATTCAACGCAAATAGGTCAATCGCGATACAGCTCAGCTCTGAAATACCTCAATAGTGTTATAGATCAATTAGGAGGCAGCAAGGTTATGAGGCCACAGAAAGGACTGTGAGGTGGCATTGCCCCTATAGAGTGTGAGGTGGCATTGCCCCTATAGAGAACTCTGTTCCCCTCAGGTGAGATATCTTCATTTCCAGCCAAGGAAAAACAGAGTCTTCACTGGAAAAGGAAAATATGCTTTCAAAACCCCAGGAGGACTGGCTTATGTAGAGAGAAGTCCCTGCCCCTGGTCTCTGATTGGTCTGTTCTCATGCAAATGAGGACTCCAAATCCTCAAAGTTTGATTGGTCCAAAAAGCACTGCCTTGATTGGTCAAAATGGAGTTACTCTGATTGGTTGGTGAAGATGTGAATGAGGACATAGCCTTGGTGCTCCAATTGGATGGGGAAAGTCTCAGTCCTATTGGTTGAAATTCAATTCCAGGAACTCTTTTGTAAGGGTTGACTTATTTTAGTATAAGTGCTGCCTTAGCCAGCACAGTATCAGCATTGGCTTAGCCTTCAGGAACACAGTACAAGCAGGCAGTTTAGTGCAGGCTAAAGTGCAGCTTGCAGGCTCATATGAGAGTCCCCTGTTTAGCAACAGCTGCTAAGCTGTGTTTATAAATTTAAGCTCAGTTAGCCACCATGAACTCTTCTCAACAGGTACATTCATTCTCAAGGTCTACTTGGTTAAGATGATTCACTGAGAGAAGAGGTGGGTCCTCAGCCTTTTCAAATAGCCCAGTGTGGCTGAGCGGCTCCACAGCCTGCCAGCGGTCATCAGAGCTGGCCGCAGTTCTCTGCTGGGAGTGATGCCTGAAGGGAACCCAGTGAAAATATAATTTGGGGGAGTAGAACTGAAGGAGGAGCTCCCAATCTCGGTCAGAACCTTGGAAAAGGCAAGAACAGCTTCCTGATGGAGAACCTTCCAGAAGCTTCTGAGATCCCACCTTAGGCAAAGGCACAACACCTGGCAGATGCAAAATTCAGCACCCCAATGCCAGGACTCAGGCCAGCTGAGGAAGGACAGTTTACCGTAGCCACTTAGCTGAATCACAGGCTTGCTGAGAGAACTTGTTTCTTTTAATTCTTCCCAAGTTTACAGTCATTTCTTTTGGATGGCATGGTTTTAATAGCGTTTAAAGAATGTTTAGAGGATGGGTTTTCATTTATCTTCACAGCAGCCTTTAAAGGACAATTTGGTTTGTTTCTGTCACAACTTCCTGTACTGTAGCTAGTGAGACCTGAGGCCAAGGTCTCCACTGACAGAGAGGTGAGGATTTAGCACATGGCATGGAATTGGGGCAGTGAGGAGGGAAACTGAGGACCAGAGGAGCCTTCCTTGGGGAACAAGCAGGTCCCCTCTTGTTGTCCTGGGATAATTGTTACGAATGCTAAAATCGTTAAGCAAAATCAGCAAGTTGACATTTGGTGAGTGGTCTCGAAGCCACGGAGAGTGCCCTGTCAGGGTATATGCCGGGGGGCTGGGGCTTAGATCTGTGCCTTCCCTTTCCAACCCGTCACACCCTGCCAACCCAGAGTGTGAAGCCCTCATGTCACTCCACATAGCAGGATAGGCCAAGGGGTATGTGTGGGACTCTGCCTCGTTTAGCGGTTTTACCAAAGGCTGGGATCAGGACACAGAAGGCAAATTTATTAGATTTGTGAAGGGCACAAAGCTGATAGCTAACAATTCAGATGAGTAAATTGGCCTAAAAGACATGCACAAGCCCGAGATGAACTGAATCAAAAATCAAATTTAGTAAGAATACACTTTAAAATTTGAATTCCAGTTCAAAAACCTCAAAGCTGCCATCTTCCTGCCGTGAATGCCCTTCCCATTCATAGCGTACTATAATGCACGTCTGATCTCTATCCTGAGATCTGGGGCATCTTTGGGTCTCCTGACAAGACTAGAAGGCATCCGAGAGAGAGTGGGGAGAGGAGCGGGGACTCTGGTCCCAGCTTGGCTGTAATGGGATGCTGCATAAGGGACCAGAGGGAAAGGAAATAGCATTTATTGGGCCACCACCATAGATCAAATGCACCATATAATATGATTCCATTTCATACAGCAATACCTTGAAGGAGCTCGTGTCATTATTCTCATCTCTAAGATGAGTAAACTGAGGCCCAGAGAAAGCCAAGAGTAAACTGAGAGGGAGAAGAGGGACATGGATGTGGCTGGCAGTGTCTAAAACACCCCCAAATAATCCCCATCCTCCTTGTGTTATCCCCTCCCCTAGAGTGTGGGCTGGATTTTGTGACTTGCTTCTAACGAAAAGAACAAAACAGAAGTGAGAAGATGTCACTTCCAAGATTATAAGGAGACGGTGGCTTCTGCTTGGCGTCCCTCTCTCACGTGCTCTCCCTCTCTGGGAGAATCTGGCTGCTGTGTTGTAAACAGCCCCACGGCAAGGGACCGAGGCCTGTCGCAGCCATGTGAAGGGAGCTCAGAAGCAGAACAGCCCACCTTGGCCAGTCCATCCCTCAGATGACACTGCATCCTTGGCCAACAGCTTGACTGCAACCTCCTGAGAGACCTTGAGCCAGAGATGCCCAGCTGAGCCACGCCCAGAGGAAATGTGAGACGATAAATGCGTGCAGCTGTCAGATCGGGGTAATTTGTTGTGAGCACCAAAGAATGGCTACGAAGGGCTTGTCTGCACTTTCCCTGCACCACATGGCTTCCTCAGGGAGTCACTTAGCTTCTCCAGGCTTCTGTTTGACCCTTTGGCATTGTAAGGATTGGATCTGAGAAAAACGGCTCCCCAGTTGTACCTATGGGACCAGCTCAGAGTTCCAGCTGCCCAAAAGTGAGTATGGAGATGAGGCTGACATCATGGAAGCATGAGGCGGCTCAATGGGCACCCCCACCCACTACCGTGTGGTTCTCAGTATGCAAGTGTGGGATGCCACACTTAGAAGAGAGCAATGGGTCTGCTTCCAACCGAACCTTCCTGAAAGAGGTGGACCAGAACCAAGGTCTGTGAGGAGGAATTGAAGGATGGAGGTAGGTGCCTGGATTACAAGAGCTGTAGGTGAAGGCAGGGTCACAACATCTTTCTCCAAACATTTGAAAGACCTTCAAGGAGAAGAGAAGCTAGACTCGTTCTACGCAGTGCATAGCGCAAGACTAGGGTGCACTCTGTGAAGGGTGGAACTTCTCAGAACAGAAGAGAGGGCTTTGGGAGGCAGCTCCCAGCCACCTAGGCCACCTGCACAGTGGCAGCAGGGAGACGGTTGTTGAGTGGACTCACCCAAAGGGTGGACTATGGTTCTTTGGGTTCTGAGGCTGAACCGGGGTTCTGGCTCTTAGTGTTTTTGTCAGTCTGGTCTGGCTTATCTCAGAAGTAGGTGAGCTGTTTGTTATTCTGAAAGAGCTTTTCTTTTAATGTTTTCCAGCAGCTTGTCGATGTACATAAAATTCCTCCTTTGTAGATCAATACCTTTAGGTATTGAGTCCTAAATTCAAAAATTTCCCATTTGACTCAAAATAGCCACACAAGGAGTAGCTTCTGGGGGTGGGGGTGTCTCTCAAAGATCAGAAGCCTGAGCCGAGCAGGTTTCTCGGGGAGTGAGCCCCAGCACAGGAGGCACTGATTTCTCCTCGGGGGTCTGATGTGTCCACAATGTGCTCACATTCAGTGATGATCTCGTACAAACAGGAATCTTCAACAGAAATGAAGACAAAGCTTCCCTTTTCCAACAGCGAGTTACAATCAAAAGACATTTCCTGGCATACAACTTTGGCATTGTAAGTCCATGTTTCTCAAACTGGGGGTGTGCTGGTGTGTTCTAGGGAGTCCTGAGATTGGCTTCCGCTATGGTCTGAATGTTTGCGTCCCCCTCCCCAAAATTCCTCTGTTGAAATCCTAGCCCCAAAGTGATGATTTTGGGAGGCGGGGCCTCCGAGTGGTGCTTGGGTCATGAGGGTGATGCCCTCATGAATGGAATTCTTCCCTTATAAAAGGGACTTCAGAGAGATCTCTTGTTCCTTCTGCCATGTGAGGGCACGGTGAGAAAACACTCGTCTATAAACCAGGAAGCTGTTTCTTAGCAGACATTGAACTTCTCACACCTTGATCTTTAATTTCTCAGCCTCCAGAACTCTGAGAAATAAATTTCTATTATTTATAAGTCCTATAGTCTGTGGCATTTTGCTATAGCAGCCTGAATGGACAAAGACGGTCCCCCTCCCGCCTCCTGGGGCCCCACCAGCCTTACTTGCAGAGAACAGCATCGGTGTCAGACAGGGCCTCGTACACACATGAGTCATTATCCTCCAGGTTTCCTGTGACGACCATCGTGAGGCCCAGAAACAGGGGTGCCATCACCAGCCTCATTGTCCAGCCCATGATCACCTGGAACAGAAGGAGCTTTTAGAGCTGCTAGACCCTCTCTGCAGGAGGCACCCTTACCACCCTGCACGCTCCGACTCTAGGGGCCCACCTGGCGCCACAGAGATCTCTGGTGAGCAGAGGGAGAAGGGTAGGCAGCTGCCTGGGCTCCAGCAGCTAATCTGCCACCTGGACACAAATGCCTTAGGAGGACCTGGGCCTACTCCAAATTGGACTCAATTTGCAGTCCTAGCTGAGGCCCCTCCTTCGTCAGGCTCTGCTGTCACTCCAGACCTAGCTGCCAGGGCCTAGAGCAGGCTGCAAAGCAGAGGTGCTTATATAAGCCTCTCAGCATAGCTCCACATCCTGCCCCTACCACTTGCCCCGTGTGTGTTTGATTGGCCAAGGGCCAGCCTACTCCTTTGGCGTTAAGGCAAATTCTGGGAAGCTGGTGACCCCAGGCTTCTGGCTGGGGGCAGGTCCTGGGGTGCTTGCAAAAGCCTGACCTTGGTTGTTTTTCTAGGAGCAGAGCTTTGGCTGGGTCGTGTCCCTTGGATAGCTCTGCTTCTCTTGCCCACGGTTCCTCCACCACCTGTCTTGACAGCCTCGGGGCTGTCTGATGGTGCATGAGTGTGGACACAGTGATCTTGTGTAGGTGGGGCTGGTGCACATGGGGTACAGCTGCCCCAGCCCCGAGGCCACCTCTGAAGAGCCAGCTGAGGACAGAAGGGCCTGTCTGACTGCACCAGTGCTGAACTCAGCACTCTCCCAAAATAATAGTCTCTGGAGAAGAAGGCCAGCAGAGCTGCTGAGGAAGGGGGCAGGTTGCACCAGCTCTGCGCTGGGGGGAGAGGATGAGGGGCTGGGGCTGAGCCACATTGAGCTCCCCAGGAAGCA